TCTGAGGACCCATGCCAAATCTTTTCAGTCTCCTTAGGGGGAATAGGTTTTGTCGTGCCCTCTTCACGACTGTCTTAGTGTGTTTGGACCATGATAGTTCGTTGGTGATGTGGACACCAAGGAACTTGAAGCTCTCAACCTGTTCCACTACAGCCCCGTCGATGAGAATGGGGGCGTGCTCAGTTCTCTTTTTTTCCCTGTAGTCCACAATCATCAAGGAGGGTGGTGCTTGAAATCATTGTTCTTCCTCTGTTAACCATGGTTACCTGCAAGGAAACATGTGCCATCATCATTGCTTTGCACAAAAAGGGCTTCACAGGCAAGGATATTGCTGCTACTAAGATTGCACCTAAATCAACATTTATCGGATCATCAAGAACTTCCAAGGAGAGAGGTTCAATTGTTGTGAAGAAGGCGTCAGGGCGCCCAAGAAAGTCCAGCAAGCGCCAGGACCGTCTCCTAAAGTTGATTCAGCTGCGGGATCGGGGCACCACCAGTGCAGAGCTTTCTCAGGAATGGCAGCAGGCAGTTGTGAGTGCATCTGCACGCACAGTGAGGCGAAGACTTTTGGAGGATGGCCTGGTGTCAAGAATGGCAGCAAAGAAGCCACTTCTCTCCAGGAAAAACATCAGGGACAGACTGATATTCTGCAAAAGGTACAGGGATTGGACTGCTGAGGACTGGGGTAAAGTCATTTTCTCTGATTAATCCCCTTTCCGATTGTTTGGGGCATCCGGGAAAACACTTTGTCCGGAGAAGACAAGGTGAGCACTACCATCAGTCCTGTGTCATGCCAACAGTAAAGCATCCTGAGACCATTCATGTGTGGGGTTGCTTCTCAGCCAAGGGAGTGGGCTCACTCACAATTTTGCCTAAGAACACAGCCATGAATAAAGAATGGTACCAACACATCCTCCAAGAGCAACTTCTCCCAACCATGCAAGAACAGTTTGGTGACAACCAATGCCTTTTCCAGCATGATGGAGCACCTTGCCATAAGGCAAAAGTGATGACTAAGTGGCTCGGGGAACAAAACATCGACATTTTGGGTCCATGGCCAGGAAACTCCCCAGACCTTAATCCCATTGAGAACTTGTGGTCAATCCTCAAGAGACGGGTGGACAAACAAAAACCCACAAATTCTGACAAACTCCAAGCATTGATTAGCAAGAACGGGCTGCCATCAGTCAGGATGTGGCCCAGAAGTTAATTGACAGCATGCCAGGGCGGATTGCAGAGATCTTGAAAAGAAAGTGTCAACACTGCAAATATTGACTCTTTGCATAAACTTAATGTAATTGTCAATAAAAGCCTTTGACACTTATGGAATGCTTGTAATTATACTTCAGTATACCATAGTAACATCTAACAAAAATATCTCATAACACTGAAGCAGCGAACTTTGTGAAGACCAATACTTGTGTCATTCTCAAAACTTTTGACCACGACTGTACAGTGCATTCGGAAAGTATTCAGACCCCTTGACTTTTTCCACATTTTGTTACGTTAGCCTTATTCTAAAATTGATTAAATCGTTTTTTCCCCTCATCAATCTACACACAATACCCCATAATGACAAAGCAAAAACTGGTTTTTAGAAATTTTTGCACATTTATTAAAAAGAAAAAACGTTGATATGACATTTACATAAGTATTCAGAATCTTTAATCAGTAATTTGTTGAAGCACCTTTGGCAGCGATTACAGCCTCATGTCTTCTTGGGTGTGAGGCTACAAGGTTGGCACACCTGTATTTGGGGAGTTTCTCCCATTCTTCTCTGCAGATCCTCTCAAGCTCTGTCAGGTTGGATGGGGAGCGTCGCTGCACAGCTATTTTAGGTCTCTCCAGAGATGTCCGATCGGGTTCAAGTCTGGGCTCTGGCTGGGCCACTCCTGCGTTGTCTTGGCTGTGTGCTTAGGGTCGTTGTACTGTTGGAAGGTGAACCTTCGCCCCAGTCAGAGGTCCTGAGCACTCTGGAGCAGGTTTTCATCAAGGATCTCTCTATACTTTGCTCCGTTCATCCTTCCCTCGATCCTGACTAGTCTCCCAGTCCCTGCCGCTGAAAAACATCCCCACACCATGCTTCACCGTAGGGACGGTGCCAGGTTTCCTCCAGATGTGACGCTTGGCATTCAGGCCAAATAGTTCAATCTTGGTTTCATCAGAGCAGAGAATCATGTGTTCTTGGTCACTTCACTGACCAAGGCCCTTCTCCCCCGATTGCTCAGTTTGGCCGGGCGGCCAGGTCTAGGAAGTGTCTTGGTAGTTCCAAACGTCTTCCATTTAAGAATGATGGAGGCCACTGTGTTCTTGGGGACCTTCAATGCTGCAGAAATGTGTTGGTACCTTTCCCCAGATCTGTGCCTCGACACAATCCTGTCTTGGAGCTCTACGGACAATTCCTTCGGCTTCCATGGCTTGGTTTTTGCTCTGACAGGCACTGTCAACTGTGGGACCTCATTACATTTACGTCATTTAGCAGACGCTCTTATCCAGAGCGACTTACAGTTAGTGACTACATAAATTGTTATTTTTTTCATACTGGCCCCCCGTGGGAATCGAACCCACAACCCTGGCGTTGCAAACGCCATGCTCTACCAACTGAGCTACACGGGACTGACTCATATAGACAGGTGTGTGCCTTTCCAAATCATGTCCAATCAATGTAATTTACCACAGGTGGACTCCAATCAAGTTGTAGAAACATCTCAAGGATGATCAATGGAAACAGGATGCACCTGAGCTCAATTTCAAGTCTCATAGCAAAGTTCTTTTTATTTTTCATACATTTGCACACATTTCTAAAAAACTATTTTTGCTTTGTCATTATGGGGTATTGTGTGTAGATTGATGAGGGGCAAAAATTATTTAATCCATTTTAGAATAAGTCTGTAACGTAATAAAATGTTGAAAAAGGGAAGGGGTCTGAATACTTTCCGAATGCACTGTAATAGAACATGTACTGTAGGCTTGTAAAACAGTAAAGTACTGTCCCACGTGTGACCGGGGATAGACTGCCTGGCTATGACATCACTCAGCGCACCATGCCCCGAGGTGCTAACAGTAGCATGCTGGTGTGACCGCAGCCTCACCTACACTGGGCACCTGCAGACAACAGCTACTCTACACAATGTTCTGCAGACAACAGCTACTCTACACAATGTTCTACAGACAACAGCTACTCTACACAATGTGAGGGGACAACAGCTACTCTACACAATGTGAGGGGACAACAGCTACTCTACACAATGTGAGGGGACAACAGCTACTCTCCACAATGTTCTACAGACAACAGCTACTCTACACAATGTTCTGCAGACAACAGCTACTCTCCACAATGTTCTACAGACAACAGCTACTCTACACAATGTTCTACAGACAACAGCTACTCTACACAATGTTAGGGGACAACAGCTACTCTACACAATGTGTGGGGACAACAGCTACTCTACACAATGTTCTACAGACAACAGCTACTCTACACAATGTTAGGGGACAACAGCTACTCTACACAATGTGTGGAGACAACAGCTACTCTACACAATGTTCTACAGACAACAGCTACTCTACACAATGTTCTGCAGACAACAGCTACTCTACACAATGTTCTACAGACAACAGCTACTCTACACAATGTGAGGGGACAACAGCTACTCTCCACAATGTTCTACAGACAACAGCTACTCTACACAATGTTCTGCAGACAACAGCTACTCTACACAATGTTCTACAGACAACAGCTACTCTACACAATGTTAGGGGACAACAGCTACTCTCCACAATGTGAGGGGACAACAGCTACTCTACACAATGTTCTACAGACAACAGCTACTCTCCACAATGTTCTACAGACAACAGCTACTCTACACAATGTTAGGGGACAACAGCTACTCTCCACAATGTGAGGGGACAACAGCTACTCTACACAATGTTCTACAGACAACAGCTACTCTCCACAATGTTCTACAGACAACAGCTACTCTACACAATGTTAGGGGACAACAGCTACTCTCCACAATGTGAGGGGACAACAGCTACTCTACACAATGTTCTACAGACAACAGCTACTCTCCACAATGTTCTACAGACAACAGCTACTCTACACAATGTTAGGGGACAACAGCTACTCTCCACAATGTGAGGGGACAACAGCTACTCTACACAATGTTCTACAGACAACAGCTACTCTCCACAATGTTCTACAGACAACAGCTACTCTACACAATGTTCTACAGACAACAGCTACTCTACACAATGTTCTGCCGACAACAGCTACTCTACACAATGTTCTACAGACAACAGCTACTCTCCACAATGTTAGGGGACAACAGCTACTCTACACAATGTTCTACAGACAACAGCTACTCTCCACAATGTTCTGCAGACAACAGCTACTCTACACAATGTTCTGCAGACAACAGCTACTCTCCACAATGTTCTGCAGACAACAGCTACTCTACACAATGTTCTACAGACAACAGCTACTCTACACAATGTTCTACAGACAACAGCTACTCTCCACAATGTTCTACAGACAACAGCTACTCTCCACAATGTTCTGCAGACAACAGCTACTCTACACAATGTTCTACAGACAACAGCTACTCTACACAATGTTCTGCAGACAACAGCTACTCTACACAATGTTCTGCAGACAACAGCTACTCTACACAATGTTCTACAGACAACAGCTACTCTACACAATGTTAGGGGACAACAGCTACTCTACACAATGTTCTGCAGACAACAGCTACTCTACACAATGTTAGGGGACAACAGCTACTCTACACAATGTTCTGCAGACAACAGCTACTCTACACAATGTTCTACAGACAACAGCTACTCTACACAATGTTCTACAGACAACAGCTACTCTACACAATGTTCTACAGACAACAGCTACTCTCCACAATGTTCTACAGACAACAGCTACGCTCCACAATGTTCTGCAGACAACAGCTACTCTCCACAATGTGAGGGGACAACAGCTACTCTACACAATGTTCTACAGACAACAGCTACTCTCCACAATGTTCTACAGACAACAGCTACGCTCCACAATGTTCTACAGACAACAGCTACTCTACACAATGTGAGGGGACAACAGCTACTCTCCACAATGTTCTACAGACAACAGCTACTCTACACAATGTGAGGGGACAACAGCTACTCTACACAATGTGAGGGGACAACAGCTACTCTACACAATGTTCTACAGACAACAGCTACTCTACACAATGTTCTACAGACAACAGCTACTCTTCACAATGTTCTACAGACAACAGCTACTCTACACAATGTTCTACAGACAACAGCTACTCTCCACAATGTTCTACAGACAAAAGCTACTCTCCACAATGTTCTGCAGACAACAGCTACTCTCCACAATGTTCTACAGACAACAGCTACTCTCCACAATGTTCTACAGACAACAGCTACTCTCCACAATGTTCTACAGACAACAGCTACTCTACACAATGTGAGGGGACAACAGCTACTCTACACAATGTGAGGGGACAACAGCTACTCTACACAATGTTCTACAGACAACAGCTACTCTCCACAACGTTCTACAGACAACAGCTACTCTCCACAATGTTCTACAGACAACAGCTACTCTCCACAATGTTCTACAGACAACAGCTACTCTCCACAATGTTCTACAGACAACAGCTACGCTCCACAATGTTCTGCAGACAACAGCTACTCTCCACAATGTGAGGGGACAACAGCTACTCTCCACAATGTTCTACAGACAACAGCTACGCTCCACAATGTTCTACAGACAACAGCTACTCTACACAATGTGAGGGGACAACAGCTACTCTCCACAATGTTCTACAGACAACAGCTACTCTACACAATGTGAGGGGACAACAGCTACTCTACACAATGTGAGGGGACAACAGCTACTCTACACAATGTTCTACAGACAACAGCTACTCTACACAATGTTCTACAGACAACAGCTACTCTTCACAATGTTCTACAGACAACAGCTACTCTCCACAATGTTCTACAGACAACAGCTACTCTACACAATGTGAGGGGACAACAGCTACTCTACACATTTTACATTTACATTTTAGTCATTTAGCAGACGCTCTTAACCAGAGCGACTTACAGGAGCAATTAGGGTTAAGTGCCTTGCTCAAGGGCACATTAACGTCATTTAGCAGACGCTCTTAGCCAGAGCGACTCACAAATTGGTGCGTTCACCCTATAGCCAGTGGGATAACCACTTTACAATTTGGGGGGGGGGGGGGGTTGGAAGGAATACTTTAGCCTATCCCAGGTATTCCTTAAAGAGGTGGGGTTTCAAATGTCTCCGGAAGGTGGTGAGTGACTCCGCTGTCCTGGCGTCGTGAGGGAGCTTGTTCCACCATTGGGGTGCCAGAGCAGCGAACAGTTTTGACTGGGCTGAGCGGGAGCTGTGCTTCCGCAGAGGAAGGGGAGCCAGCAGGCCAGAGGTGGATGAACGCAATGTCCTCGTTTGGGTGTAGGGACTGATCAGAGCCTGAAGGTACAGGGGTGCCGTTCCCCTCACTGCTCCAAAGGCAAGCACCATGGTCTTGTAGCGGATGCGAGCTTCAATTGGAAGCCAGTGGAGTGTGCGGAGGAGGGGGGTGACGTGAGAGAACTTGGGAAGGTTGAACACCAGACGGGCTGCGGCTCCACAATGTTCTGGCATTCTACACAATGTTCTACAGACAACAGCTACTCTCCACAACGTTCTACAGACAACAGCTACTCTCCACAATGTTCTACAGACAACAGCTACTCTACACAATGTGAGGGGACAACAGCTACTCTACACAATGTTCTGCAGACAACAGCTACTCTCCACAATGTTCTACAGACAACAGCTACGCTCCACAATGTTCTGCAGACAACAGCTACTCTACACAATGTTCTACAGACAACAGCTACTCTACACAATGTTCTACAGACAACAGCTACTCTCCACAACGTTCTACAGACAACAGCTACTCTCCACAATGTTCTACAGACAACAGCTACTCTACACAATGTGAGGGGACAACAGCTACTCTACACAATGTTCTGCAGACAACAGCTACTCTCCACAATGTTCTACAGACAACAGCTACGCTCCACAATGTTCTGCAGACAACAGCTACTCTACACAATGTTCTACAGACAACAGCTACTCTACACAATGTTCTACAGACAACAGCTACTCTACACAATGTGAGGGGACAACAGCTACTCTCCACAATGTTCTACAGACAACAGCTACTCTCCACAATGTTCTACAGACAACAGCTACTCTCCACAATGTTCTGCAGACAACAGCTACTCTACACAATGTTCTACAGACAACAGCTACTCTACACAATGTTCTACAGACAACAGCTACTATCATTTCAATAGTTTCTATTTGGTTTTAGTCATTTCAATGTCGATTAATAATTATTTAAAAAAAGGTATCATTTTTTGTTTTACTCAAACCGCCCGCGGGCCAGATGTTTGACAGCCCTGCTCTAAACACTTTTAGACGGGGGGTGCAAGAAAGACACGTGAGGGGCCCCGTCCCACATATACAAGGGTAGGGGAAACACTTAAGTCACTGCTGATGGTCTTACGTATTGACTTGGGTGATTTGAGCACTCTGAGACAGCAGTAGAGGGTCAGCAGACCCATAGAGATCAGGAGGATGATGCCCAATGTGAACCCTGCCTGCAAGGAGAAGAGACAGGTCAGTGGGAGTTACACTTTAGCCTGGTCCCAGATCTGTATAACCATGGTTACTATGACAACAACCATAGTAATTGGCAGGAGAGCACAAACAGATCTGGGATCAGGCTAATAACACTTACGAAGGAGACATTAACTAATATGTGGGCTATTACTTAGTGTTGTATGGTATAATTGCAATATGACTATCCAGTTAGGCTAGAGAAATGATTCACAATTACCTTTATCCCTCATGGTATATACAGAGTATAGATTAATTACCTGCTTTATCCCCCATGGTATATACTGAGTATAGATTAATTACCTGCTTTATCCCCCATGGTATATACAGAGTATAGATTAATTACCTGCTTTATCCCCCATGGTATGTACAGAGTATAGATTAATTACCTGCTTTATCCCCCATGGTATATACAGAGTATAGATTCATTACCTGCTTTATCCCCCATGGTATATACAGAGTATAGATTAATTACCTGCTTTATCCCCCATGGTATATACTGAGTATAGATTAATTACCTGCTTTATCCCCCATGGTATATACTGAGTATAGATTAATTACCTGCTTTATCCCCCATGGTGTATACTGAGTATAGATGATACTACTTATCCCCCATGTATTAGATAGATAATTACCTGCATAATCTCCCATGGTGTATACAGAATATAGATGAATTACCTGCTTTATCCCCCATGGTATATACAGAGTATAGATTAATTACCTACTTTATCCCCCATGGTATATACAGAGTATAGATTAATTACCTACTTTATCCCCCATGGTATATACAGAGTATAGATTAATTACCTACTTTATCCCCCATGGTATATACAGAGTATAGATTAATTACCTACTTTATCCCCCATGGTATATACTGAGTATAGATTAATTACCTGCTTTATCCCCCATGGTATATACAGAGTATAGATGAATTACCTGCATAATCTCCCCATGGTGTATACAGAATATAGATTAATTACCTGCTTTATCCCCCATGGTATATACTGAGTATAGATTAATTACCTGCTTTATCCCCCCTGGTATATACTGAGTATATATGAATTACCTGCTTTATCCCCCATGGTATATACTGAGTATAGATGAATTACCTGCATAATCTCCCATGGTGTATACAGAATATAGATTAATTACCTGCTTTATCCCCCATGGTATATACTGAGTATAGATTAATTACCTACTTTATCCCCCATGGTATATACTGAGTATAGATTAATTACCTGCTTTATCCCCCATGGTATATACTGAGTATAGATGAATTACCTGCTTTATCCCCCATGGTATATACTGAGTATAGATGAATTACCTGCTTTATCCCCCATGGTATATACAGAGTATAGATGAATTACCTGCTTTATCCCCCATGGTATATACTGAGTATAGATTAATTACCTACTTTATCCCCCATGGTATATACTGAGTATAGATTAATTACCTGCTTTATCTCCCATGGTATATACAGAGTATAGATGAATTACCTGCTTTATCCCCCATGGTATATACTGAGTATAGATGAATTACCTGCTTTATCCCCATGGTTATACAGAGTATAGATTAATTACCTGCTTTATCCCCCATGGTATATACGAGTATAGATTAATTACTGCTTTATCCCCCATGGTATATACTGGTATAGATTAATTACTACTTATCCCCCATGGTATATACTGAGTATAGATTAATTACCTGCTTTATCCCCCATGGTATATACTGAGTAAGATGAATTACCTGCTTTATCCCCATGGTATATACGAGTATAGATTAATTACCTGCTTTATCTCCCATGGTATATACAGAGATAGATGAATTACCTGCTTTATCCCCATGGTATATACTGAGTATAGATGAATTACCTGCTTTATCCCCATGGTAATACAGAGTATAATTAATTACCTGCTTTATCCCCATGGTATATACAGAGTATAGATTAATTACCTGCTTTATCCCCCATGGTATAACAGAGTATAGATTAATACCTGCTTTATCCCCATGGTGTATACAGAATATAGATTAATTACCTGCTTTATCCCCCATGGTATATACTGAGTATAGATTAATTACCTACTTTATCCCCCATGGTATATACTGAGTATAGATTAATTACCTGCTTTATCCCCCATGGTATATACTGAGTATAGATGAATTACCTGCTTTATCCCCCATGGTATATACTGAGTATAGATTAATTACCTGCTTTATCTCCCATGGTATATACAGAGTATAGATGAATTACCTGCTTTATCCCCCATGGTATATACTGAGTATAGATGAATTACCTGCTTTATCCCCCATGGTATATACAGAGTATAGATTAATTACCTGCTTTATCCCCCATGGTATATACAGAGTATAGATTAATTACCTGCTTTATCCCCCATGGTATATACTGAGTATAGATTAATTACCTACTTTATCCCCCATGGTATATACTGAGTATAGATTAATTACCTGCTTTATCCCCCATGGTATATACAGAGTATAGATTAATTACCTGCTTTATCCCCCATGGTATATACAGAGTATAGATTAATTACCTGCTTTATCCCCCATGGTATATACTGAGTATAGATTAATTACCTACTTTATCCCCCATGGTATATACTGAGTATAGATTAATTACCTACTTTATCCCCCATGGTATATACTGAGTATAGATTAATTACCTGCTTTATCCCCCATGGTATATACTGAGTATAGATTAATTACCTGCTTTATCTCCCATGGTATATACAGAGTATAGATGAATTACCTGCTTTATCCCCCATGGTATATACTGAGTATAGATGAATTACCTGCTTTATCCCCCATGGTATATACAGAGTATATATTAATTACCTGCTTTATCCCCCATGGTATATACAGAGTATAGATTAATTACCTGCTTTATCCCCCATGGTATATACAGAGTATAGATTAATTACCTGCTTTATCCCCCATGGTATATACAGAGTATAGATTAATTACCTGCTTTATCCCCCATGGTATACTGAGTATAGATGTCCCCATCATCGTGTTCCATATGGCAAAACTAAGAGGAGGAATTCCCAATGGTCATTTGGAGCAATCATATAATTAGAGCAGCTACAGTATATGTAAACCTATGAACTTGAAATAAAGAGGTAAGATGGTAAACCCACAGTACCCGTCAACAGTTTGGACACACCTACTCATTCAAGGCTTTTTCTTTATTTTTACTATTTTCTACATTGTAGAATAATAGTGAAGACATCAAAACTATGAAATAACACAAATGGAATCATGTAGTAACCGAAAAAGTGTTAAACAAATCAAAATATATTTTAAATATTTGAGATTCTTCAGATAGCCACCCTTTGCCTTGATGACAGCTTTGCACACTCTTGGCATTCTCTCAACCAGCTTCATGAGGTAGTCACCTGGAATGCATTTCAATTAACAGGTGTGCCTTGTTAAAAGTTTATTTGTGGAATTTCTTTCCTTCTTAATGCATTTGAGCCAATCAGTTGTGTTGTGACAAGGTAGGAGTGGTATACAGAAGATAACCCTATTTAGTAAAAGACCAAGTCCATATTATGGCAAGAACAGCTCAAATAAGCAAAGAGAAACGACAGTCCATCATTACTTTAAGACATGAAGGTCAGTCCATACAGAAACATTTCTTCAAGTGCAGTCGCAAAAACCATCAAGCGCTATGATGAAACTGGCTCTCATGAGGACCGCCACAGAAAAGGAAGACCCTTACCTTTGCTGCAGAGGATAAGCTCATTAGAGTTAACTGCACCTCAGATTGCAGCCCAAATAAATGCTTCACAGAGTTCAAGTAACAGACACATCAACATCAACTGTTCGGAGGAGACTGCGTGAATCAGGCCTTCTCAATTGCTGGACCACTACAGGACACAAATAGAGAAAGACTGTTGGGCAAACACGAGCAGAAAGACCTGGAAACGTCTCTGTGAGTCAATGGGTTTTGGTCAACATTGTGAGACCAGATAAGGTAACGGATGACTTGTTCATTGGGATCAGAGGAACACGAGTACAAACTGGCCATTAAGAAGTCGCTGGTTCTAATCCCCGAGCCGACTTGGTGAAAAATCTGTCGATGTGCCCTTGAGCAAGGCACTTAACCCTAATTGCTCCTGTAAGTCGCTCTGGATAAGAGCGTCTGCTAAATGACCAAAAAAAAAAAAAAAAAAAAAAAAAAAAAAAAAAAAAAAAAAAAAAAAAAAAAAAAATCTCTGCATGTAAGGTTCCCACCGTGAAGCATGGAGGATGTGTGATGGTGTGGGAGTGTTTTGCTGGTGACACTGTCTGATTTAATTCGAATTCAAAGCACACTTAACCAGCATGGCTACCACAGCATTCTGCAGCGATATGCCTCCCATCTGGTTTGGGCTTAGTGGGACTATCATTTGTTTTTCAACAGGACGATGACCCAACACACCTCCAGGCTGTGTAAGGGCTATTTGACCAAGGAGAGTGATGGAGTGCTGCATCAGATGACCTGGCCTCCAAAATCACCCAACCTCAACCCAATTGAGATGGTTTGGGATGAGTTGGACCGCAGAGTGAAGGAAAAGCAGCCAACAAGTGCTCAGCATATGTGGAAACTCCTTTAAGACTGTTGGAAAAGCATTTCAGGTGAAGCTGGTTGAGAGAATGCCAAGAGTGTGCAAAGCTGTCATCAAGGCAAAGGGTGGCTACTTTGAAGAATCTAAAATCTAAAATATATTTTGATTTGTTTAACACTTTTTTTGGTTACTACATGATTACATATGTGTTATTTCATAGTTTTGATGTCTTCACTATTATTTTACAATGTAGAAAATAGTAAAAATAAAGAAAAACCCTTGAATGAGTAGGTGTCCAAACTTTTGACTGGTCCTGTACATGTAAACCTATGAACTTGAAGTAAAGAGGTAAGATAATAAACCTACATGTAAACCTATGAACTTGATGTAGTGAGGTAAGATGAGTACAGTTTTTACAGGCATTTACACCATACAACTAATCTAATGGAGCAAATATCAGGGGTGATGGTTGAGCGCTTACATCGTGATGATGCTGGGGTTTTTGGACCCTCCGTCCCCTCCAGTCACTTTGAAGGCCATCCCCAGAGGACTGTACACATAGATCTCCTCTGGACAGGGGATCACGTGGTCTGGAGGGCTCTGACATGGGAAAAAAATAGTTTTCTTCCGTTTAGTGCCTAATGAACATGACCCAGGGCTGAATCTACAACCACCTCACTTGGTAGGAGCTAAGATCTAACCAAATCAATAGGACTTAAGAGGGTAATGTACACATATACGGTCCACTGACCTGTGCTTTGGCAGCCACAGCACAGTGAAGCTACATACCAAGCATGATTGATTAAAGATTTCCTAAAGGGTCTATCAGAGTACCAAACGTGTATGCACAGCAGTGTTCTAGAATATTGGACCGTTGGCTTTCATACTTTTCAAATTCTCAGCGCAGCTCAAGCTATTTCTCCAACTGTCAACACATTCAAATGAATAGAGGGCAAGTATCGGAGACGCGTTGGTTGGGAATTGTGGGGAGGTGCGCATTCGGGCTGTGCTTCCCCCGCAGATGGTGGTCTCAGAGCCGCGTAGCCGTGTCACAATGGGACGCCGGACTATCGCGTCTCAGCATCTGTGGATAATGATTTACGTTCTCTTTAGGGAATGCTGCTATCCTTATAGGTTATGGTAGTGGATGACTAACTGCTTGTCTGCAAGCGGTCCATTTGAAGCGGAAGGGTACAAAGGCGTTAGCATGCTTCAGTTCGGCTGGTGCCTAGATGAACTTGGCTAGGCCAACCGATCGAGTGTGCTTACATCCTCCCTTAAAAACACCTTCGCTTGAAAAAAAAAAGGCAATAGTACTGTTTGTCCATTTTGAGACGCCGTAGCCAGTACAAACTTCCTCAAAATATACCTAATTAAATCGACGATAACAAAAATCAGTCATTAATTTTGACGATTTTGCTGAGGAGATCTTAGTCGCACAATTTTACATCTAACTAAGATGTTTGGTGCAGTATTTCTCAATGAAATAATTTGCATGAAAACGAGTCGTCTCTCGTTGAATGACAACAAATACTTTATTGAAGAATCCCTACTGTTGACCAATCACCGACGAAAGGGGCGTAGACTTCGGCTTGAGTCGAGAGAAACGACAGCCGAAAGAACCTTTACCGAAGTCCAAAACAAACAAAAACATCACAAAAATGGCATCATAATACATGCACAAACTCTTCCGAACTGTTTCGGCTGGGAAGCATGCGGACGCCTTAAGGTTACTGACACTGCCAATTGTTGTTCAGAGACAAAACAGCTTTCATTAGCCAGAGTGGCGGGACTGTGTAATATGCCATACTAAAACCATTATCACCAGATCACTGCAGGAAAAATGAAGCCATTGACGATTGCTTATCTACTCTCCCAACGCTTGTCCTCTCAATTGACACGCAATTGTCAACACTGTACAAGTGGCATGAAAACAGGTTCCTGTGTGCAAGCTACCAGCTTTACGTGTATGGGCTGATGGATCGGTTGTTGATGAATACTATTTATCCCACTTCATATACAGCAAGCCTGATCAATAGGAGTACTACTACTACTACTACTACTACTACTACTACTACTACTACTACTACTACTACTACTACTAATAATAATAATATGTATCTACTGGTCTTAAAACAGGTGTGTGTGTGTGTGTGTGTGTGTGTGTGTGTGTGTGTGTGTGTGTGTGTGTGTGTGTGTGTGGCGCCTACCAGCAGCCTGTCGGAGGAGGCAGTGAGCCGGCTGTAGTAATGCACTCTGCTGCTGAGGACAGAGGCCTTTGCTGACACCCTCTCAGAGGGGTCATCCTCCACTATATTCCGATGCTCCACGTGGAAAGGCCTGAAGACAACACAGACAGATTAGCCTAAATGACTGTTAATGGTATACTGGAAATGATCCACCTTCTTTGGACCACATGGACCCAGTTTGAATACTTAAAAAAAGATGCCTTTTTCTTGAGAAACCCACTGACCTAACATGGGAATATTGGTGAAAGCAAGGGAGTGAAAACCATGTCTATACCGATCCACACACTTACAGATCAGTGATTATCTCAAATAAGGGAGCAGGGAAGGATCCATTTGAAAGGTATTGGATGGGACCCGGGCCATGCAGTACGAGACCATACTGGGAACAGAACTGATTAAATGAGCAAGAAGATTGGTTCTGAAAATCTTCGAAAATAATTACACAACCTTTCCTAAAGCATTGGTCATGATTTTGCCTTGGAATTTCCTTTTCCTCTAATATATGTTGTGTGAATATATGGTATGACCGTCTCTACATAATGAGAGAGAAGAGACTGGTACACATTACACAGCAGTGTTGAAAACACTTGTGCACTTTGTCATCCCACAAAACAGATTCTACTGACATCAGAATTGCATTGTCCAAAGCAGTTAAGCTTGATTGTTAAATTGCTCATAAAAGACTTGACAAAAGGTGAAACATTGACCTCTCCAGTCCTACATAACTTCTTATTGTTGTTGCACTGTCGAGGAGGAACCTGCCAGTAAGCATTTAATTGGACAGCATATCCCATACACATGGTGTAGTTAGTGCTGCAGTGTGAAAGACAATGTCTCCGGGTTAGGTGTCCAACAGTGTATTTCTAAGAACATCCAAAATGCCTTCTTGCTTTTAACATTAAACTCGAGCTAAACATAGGCTACCACTAATTTCCAGCCACTGAAACGGAACAGGGTGTGTGGCACTATTCGGGAAGGGTTCTCAAATCAAATCCAATTTAAATTTGTCACATGCTTCGTAAACAGGTGTAAACCAACAGTGAAATGCTTACTGACGGGCCCTTCCCCAACGATGCAGAGAGAAAGACAATAGAGAAATAATAGAAAAGTAAAACGTCATAATAAAAGTAATAATAAATACACAATGAGTAACGATAACTTGGCTATATACACGGGGTACCAGTACTGAGTCGATGTGCAGGGGTACGAGGTAACTGAAGTTGATATGTACATATAGGTAGGGATAAAGTCACTTGGCAACAGGGTAGATAGTACACCGTAACAGCAGCTTATGTGATGAGTCAAAAGAGTTAGTGCAAAAAGCGTCAATGCAGATAGTTAAATAGTTAACCAATAACTACCCGGACTAACTATTTAGTAGTCTTATGGCTTGGGGGTAGAAGCTGTTCAGGGTCCTGTTGGTTCCAGACTTGGTGCATCGGTACCGCTTGCCGTGCGGTAGCAGAGAGAACAGGCTATGACTTGGGTGGCTGGAGTCTGTGTGTGTGTGTGTGTGTGTGTTTCTGTGTCTGTACGTGTGGGAGGGGTTGTTCTGGGATAAGTGTGCAGCAAAGCAAAGCTGCATCTTTCTAATAAATCGAGCTAGCAACTCCTTAGTATTTGTGAAATACCAAAGTGGATTAATCCAATGGGTGCCTGGGTGGCGATTCATCCACTGGACGCCTGGGTTGTGATGCGGCCTGAAAGAATCCCTGGGTGAAGTGAGAGCACGCTCTAGACTTCAAACACTGACAGATCATTACTTTTCTGAGGAAGCACAGTACGGGGTAACTGTCTTCCTCTTTTCACACAATTGTGGTTTGGCTAGGCTCGGTTCGGTTCAGCTCAGTATTGTGAAAAGCTTTTCTGTTACACCAGGAACTAACCTGGTTAAATAAAGGTAAGGGCTTCTCCTGGCTAGTAAACAACTCACTAGCATGCTGCGGGTAGCTGGGCTAATATTCACATGAAGTCATAACTTCCAGAGTGGATCTATATGGCTTTAGAAAAACATTTTTGGCACTGTGTCATGTGAAAGCAATGCTAGTTCCAATTGTGTGGCACATGAGCGGTCAGTGATTAACTTGAATGGGCCAAATACCTTTTTCTGTCGGGTTAGAGAGCTCACTTGAATTTACAGCTGGAAGCTTGAAAATACTGAGTCAAACCATTTGTGAGGTAAGATTAGGATAACAAATGCTAAAAAACAGACAATAAAATACTAGTATTATTATAATCTTATCATACAACGTTCATACAAAAAGCTGTGTAGGCTTATTCTGTCAGATCTTCCACTGTGAGGTACTCCAGCGCACCCGGTACAAATGAGACCATGAAATAACCTACCTCCTTCGGTCCAGTGAATCTGTGGAGCCTCTGTCGGTGTAGCTCTCCCTACGCACTGAGTCCAGTAGTGGTTTACTGTCCTCCTCCATGATGCTTTGTGCTTTAGATCAGTGCCTTACAGTCTTCACCTGAGTGGAGAACAACAAATATTCATCATCAACCATTTTATATATATATTTTTTTTTTTTTTATGTTAATACTTACATCCACCAACTTATCCCTACTGTAAGAACTAGATCCATCCTTAGAAAGCTTTTGTGGTTACACAGCTTGGTTTCTTGTTGCTTCACAAAACAGTTTCATTGATAAAACATGACTCCTAATATGCCCTCTTCAGGAATATCGATTAATGAGCTGCTTGCTGCTGTATGACTCATTAGGGGTCAGAGGTGAGAACTCGCATGCCACATCCATATGCTTCCTAACCTTGACTGAGGACAATCCAACAACAGCAATGCATGCCGCTCTCTATTTTGATCTTGTGGCGAACAATTGAATACCATGAAACCTCTGCCACCCTGAAGTGGACACATTTTTCCACTGGCCCATGGACAACTCCAACTAGCGATGATCATTAGATAGGCCAATCATTGATTACCTCCATTGTTAACTAAAATGGTGGACAAAGCCTTATGATGTCATGTAAGAGGAGTACTTTTGTGTCCAATGGTACTGTAGCAAATCTGTATCAGCTACATTAAATCACATTGATTGGCCATTGTGTTGGGTTGGGACAAATGTAATCCACTTACAACAAGTAGGCCCGCTGTAGCATTTCTCCAATAAAAAAGAATGAACATTTTAGATAGCATTACAGTAGCCTAGCCTAATTCAATCGGTTAAGTATCATCAAGAACAAAAAAAATATACCTATCAACAACAATGACCTACTAATGAAATTAGGCAATGTGGGACAAAATACCAACCAAATCATTTAACTTATCTACAGAGAGATCTGCAATAGCACCAATTTCTTAACATTGTTTACGGTGGACAAATAGGGCCTACTGCAAATGTAGCCCAAAGAGAGTATTCTCAAGGAAAAGCTTTGTTGCTAACCAATTGTGAGTGCCTTAAAATAGGCCAAGCTTATTTCTGAAGAATTTGTAAAAGGCTAATATGTCATTTACCGTTACAGGTTACTATTACATGGAAGATAAGGTCATAGGTACCCCAGTTAAACATAATTCAATGGGAAAATAGCTGTTGTTATAAAACGTCTTGAGAGCGTGTATGTACCACTATGTAGACAGTAGCCTAACTTACAGAACATATGCCACTTCCAGGAAGTGTTAGTTCACAGCTCTGTACTACGTTCCTAGCGAGGGAGACACACATACTCGAGGCTTGGCAGTGACACACATAAGGAAGCCAAAATGCCATTGCATCTTATAACAGAGCAATCTTATCTTGTCACCAGTGTCAGATAAACGATCTATCTAAATTGTCCTATGCCCTAAAGGTTGTTCTAACAACAACAACAAGAAATTAAATAACATGACCTACAAAGCAGCTCAACAGTGTTTCCCCTATATTCATTTAGCAATGGTGGCCCACATATTATATATATTTCTGCCGAGACTCACTTTTAAATGGATAGTTGTTGGCTCAATGACTAGAAGGAACAGCTAGCATTTTATTGTGCTAACGCTAGTAGCAATGCACCCCCGATACCCTTGCCACCACTGCTCAATATTATTAAAGTGCAGTATTGGGTATTGTATTTTAAAAGTACTGTAGAATTAAATGTATGATCTAGTTAGTCACTGTAACGGTATTCCTTTATAAGGGCTAAGTAGGCCTACTGATAAATGCTCATATTTTCAGTCATCCGTAAAGAAAGGGAGTAACGTTACAACCAACAGAATCTCTGATAAGACTCCATACTGTCTTGAAGATTCTATTCTATGATGTTTAACTTTAGTCAACATTGGACTTTGGGAAACGTTAGTACCCTCCTGAAATTAGCTTGGCTATATTTCACAGGCTTGAAAATTAGCTAGCTATAGCTAGCTACAACTTGGCAGGTTAAAGGTTACATGGTTTTGTATGTAGGTTCATGCCTTCGTCCAATGACTCTTATGTGTAATGTAATGGAACTGAGAGTCATGATCACGGGCTACTGCACAGGGGAGCTTTGTTAAGAGGCCAGACGCTCAGTCTGAACATTAACAATCCTCGCATGTGGAACGTTTTTGGAAACATAAGGAACGTACTGTATTATTTGTGTGTATTTTGCATTTGTGATATGAAAGTAGAGGGCTTTGTTTCTAGAACCTTGTACCGCAATTGAGAATCGATTCTCATTTAGATGGAGTATTTATCTGTTTTGGCTTCCAGAGCCAATTCGCCTCTAAACAGAACATGTAATGTGAGGCAGTAAATTTGTTTTCAGTTTGGATATTGGTTTGATATTCAGAGTTTGCTCGTCAATACCTCTTAGACGGAAGGTGAGTATGGTGATATATCTAGAATCAGATGACAATAGAGAGCAAGGTACAGCCTTTATGTTCTCCGTTCTGTTTTCAAAAAGTGACTATACATTGGTTTCAATGGGGGAAATCCTATGCACTCACGGCTAAGGGTCCGTCTTAAAAGTGCAATCAGCCGAACCTGATGTTTACAGAAAAACGTTATTTCTCTCAATTAAATGATCTACAGATCTTAAACCAATGTTGTTTTCTCTCCACAACAATTACATTTAAACATTTGATTGTTCTTTTATGGATTGTATGTAAAAATACGACCTCAAAAAACAACCTACTGTAGCCTACTAACATGAACTATAGAGCTAAAATCACCTGTAGGAAAGTGACTGATGTCCCTAATCCATGATACACCCATTACATTTACATTTACGTAATTTAGCAGACGCTCTTATCCAGAGCGACTTACAGTTTGTGAGTGGATACATTATTTTTACACACTGGTCCCCCGTGGGAATCAAACCCACAACCCTGGCGTTGCAAACGCCATGCTCTACCAACTGAGCTACATCCCTGCCGGCCATTCCCTCCCCTACCCTGGACGACGCTGAGCCAATTGTGCGCCACCCCATGGGTCTCCCGGTCGCCGCCGGCTACGACAGAGCCTGGAATCGAACCAGGATCTCTAGTGGCACAGCTAGCACTGCGATGCAGTGCCTTAGACATTAGAATGTCATCTGATAAATAATTACCATTTTTAATGGCTTCCGATCCACGTGCTAGAGATCTAATCTAGTGTGATGTGTACCTTGACCTCTATTATTAAAGCACATTTATTTTCAAAATTAATCCCTTTTGATTTTCTACAAATATTTATCCTATTACAGCTGTGGCTATTAATTCGCATACAGATCCCATTTTCAATAGCTTCCAGTCCAAATGACATATACATCTAAAACCACTCGATGATAGATCACTGACCTCCCGCCTCCATAGTACACCTGTGTAGTGTTTCCTGTGATAGATCAAATGTTCAATAGCTCACTGTCCATATGAGCTAAATATCTCTAAAGACAAGTGTGGTGGGTTCCTTGACCTCTTATCAAAAAGGTACACCTTAAATTTTTTCCAAATTCTTCACATATTACCGATGTGGTTATTAATTTACGTACAGATGTAATTTTCAATAGCTTCAATATCTAAAACCACTTGATCTTAGGTCACTGACCTCCCTCCTTCATAGTACACCCATTAGAATTGCTATTTTTCATTTCACTGATTTTCTATGAATATTTCCAGTTTATATATATTTCCCCCCCAATTACGTCACTGTCCATATGAGGTAAAGATCTACAGACAAGTGTGATGGGTTCCTTTACCTCTCCTATGAAAAGGTACACCTTGAATTCTTTGCAAATTCCTCCCCTTTGACATTCTAGAATTATTTATGTTATTAATGCTTTGGTTACTAATTCACGTACAGATCTCTATTCTGCCACTAGGAGACCACAGTACCTCTTACCCTGTGGACCTACTTGTATTGACAGGCACAACTCTCATTGAGACCGCCAGCTGAATGCTTTCCTGCTATGACCTATATATTTGTCGATTCCGTCTGTTGTTTTTAATGAAGGCCGTTGATGAAGCCCGAAACGTAAATCTTTTATTCGTTTAAATTAAATAAATATTTGAATAGTGAGCAAGCATTGTGTCTTTTCAATAATGAGCTACAGACAAGTGCTGTGTGTTCAGTGACCTATCATGTCCATAGTACACCAATCATTTTTTCAACATTTTCTACAAATATTATTCCTATTACACACGTGGTTATTAATTCATTTACAGATTACATTTGTAAACGCTTCAATAGAGATCTAAAACCAAATCGAGTAGTCAGCCCCCTTTTAAACTTTTACAAAAATGTATTGCCTACATAGCTTTTATAAGCCTAAAGGCTTGCACGGCCTAACATTTCTTCAGAGTTATGGTTATTTTTCTACATTCAACATCGTGTAAAATACCTGAAGGATGAAAAGTTACTGGATTGGAGTTTGTCTCTGTGCCAATGAAAGACATGTCTACAGTGCTTTGCAAAAGTATTCATCCCCCTTGGCGTTTTTCCTATTTTGTTGCATTACAACCTGTAATTTAAATAGATTTTTATTTGGATTTCATGTAATGGATGTACACAAAATAGTCCAAATTGATGAAGTGAAATGGAAAAAAATTACTTGTTTCAAAAAATTCTACAAAATAAATAACGCAAAAGTGGTGCATGCATATGTATTCACCCCCTTTATTATGAAGCCCCTAAATAAGATCTGGTGCAACCAATTACCTTCAGAAGTCACATAATTAGTTAAATAAAGTCCACCTGTGTGCAATCTAAGTGTCACATGATCTCAGTATATATACACACCTGTTCTGAAAGGCCCCAGTCTGCAACACCACAAGCAAGGGGCACCACCAAGCAAGCGGCACCATGACGACCAAATGGAAAGAATATGGCACCACAACAAACCTGCCAAGAGAGGGCCGCCCACCAAAACCCACGGACCAGGCAACAATTGCAATAATCAGAAGCAACAAGAGAAAAAAGATAACCCCTGAAGGAGCTGCAAAGCTCCACAGCGGAGATTGGAGTATCTGTCCATAGGACCACT